TGGCTTCACTGAGTTATGCAAGCCCCTTCGCCACGACAAGGCAGTGATCCATGAAGGGGCTCTCTGTATATACTAGAATTTAATTGCAACTAATATTTTAGAAATGATTATATTAGATTTATATGCTTAACAGCATTATACTTTTATATTTTATATTTGAAGGTAACAAGCATAAATGGGTGCCACTTCATTTAGATGATATGAAGCCAGATAACCAAGATAGACCAGGATCTCGGAACAGTTCAAGATCTCAGCCAGAAACTAGCAAGCTTGTGCCTCACAACAACAGACGCAATGAGGCAAGAACTAGTATGTCATTTAAAATTCTGGTGGTTTATCTTGCATATGTTGTTGATGTCTGAATATGGAAACTTTAGTTGTATAACTGCAGGACTTTATTCTTCTGTTTCCAAAAGGCTGGCGAAGGGATAGGGAAAAGCGAGAAGATCATGATGAAGTTTCTAGCGTGAGAAGCGAAGGTGGCAGCATTCGAGGATTTTACAGAGGTCGAGGGAGAGGCAGGGGAAGAGGAAGAGGACGTGGAAGAGGAAATCCTCGAAGTATGGAAATAGAAAATTATTAAGAAAGAATGGTATTGAACATACTAAATTGCAAAACTATCCATAGTTATATGGGTTGCTTACAACATAATGCCAAGTCATGGTTTCTTATGTGAATTAGTTTTATAAATTATAATTTAATAGTAAACAATTTGAAATGGGCTTAGAGTTTTAATTTGTGGGCAGACTGAGAGGTACTGGCTCATATGTAACAAGCAACTATAATATGTTGCTTAATATGATGTGAGAGGAAATTTGAAATTTGCAAGTGTCCTTTAAGAGAGTTTATTCTAATAATATCTCAAGATTCTACTAGACAACTTGTGACCCATTGGATCATCATTTCAGAGATACTTCCTTACCTAAACAGAGAAACAGAATGAGCAGGGGCAAAAAGGTAGTAGGAGTGTGAGTGACTTATGACTTGCTGCTGGCTTCCCCATTGACTTTGCTTTAGGAAGCTGGCAGGAAGTGTCGGAAATTTTCCTCCCTCCTTCCCTCCCTCCCTCCTTCCTTTTTACATATAATATAGGGTTGCACCATTTGCCTCCTCTCACAACCCTCAGGAGAGCCCCGATGAAGCCTTCTCCTCCTCCCCCTCCTCAGCTGATGTACGGAACTGCCCACCACTTTGCTGGGGGGGGCGGAACCAAGGGAGCTGTGGACTGTGAGGAAAACTGCACCCCTGTTCCCCATTCCATCATGTCCCCAAGGGCCCCCTCCCTTGAGGGAGGAAGAAGGCTCAACTGTCGGCACCCCGCAGCCAGCCCTACCTCGCCAGTAGGCATCCGAGTCACTCCCTCATCCTTCCCTCAACACCCACTGCCATTAAGAGATTTCAAATTTCTGCCTCAGTTCCAAAGCAGCCAATCGCTGCTTGCCTGTCGGGCCTTGCTGCCAGCCAATTGGACACAGGAGGCAGGAAAGAGATTGGGGATATGCCCATGATGATCACGTGATCTGGGCTGACTGCAACGGCGCAGCAGCACAGCAGTGCTGAAGAGGCCACAATTTCCCCAAATTTCAATCCCACTGGAGTAATGGGTCCTGGATTTTGAACACATTCTATAAATTAGCCCATTTGAGGTACCTTGGTTCAAAAATTGTTGCCCTATGACATACCATTTTGCCCAGTTGAAGGTTACAGACACTAGAGTTTTAGTAGTACATAGATTTTTCTGTCAGAATGTCTAATTTGCTACTTTCTACTTATTCCCAGACTCCCATACAGAATCTGAAAAAGGACTGTGGAACATTTCACTTGAGGAGAGGGATATAAAAGCCAAGAACACATCAAAAGTAAATCAGTTAAAACATAGTGGACACTAGGCCAATAATAATAACAGCATTAATGACAACAACAACAACAACAATAAAACTCTTTAGAAATGAAGAATTGAATATAAAAATGATATTCCCCAGAGATTCATACTGCTCCTACCCTTCTTACCTTTTGTAAACTGCTTAAGACCTAGTTGTTCTCCTAGGCCCTGGACTAGAATGGAGGTCAAGTGCCTTTAATTGGTTATTGGATGTTTGGCT